GGGTCCGATGCGATTTCAGGAGCTTTTTCAGCCCCGCATCGCGTGTAGGCCTCCACTCCGCCTTCACTGACGGTGATCGGCTGCGGGATTTTCGCTTCCTGCTGAGTATCTCCTCTTGTCCAGGGCTCTTCATCCGTTGATTGGCTCTCTGCACCTCCGCCTTGCTGAGCACCGCTACGGTCCTTCGCCCCATGGTGGGGGCCGCTCTTGCCGCCGCGAGCGGGAAGAGTCCGCGAGTCATTCGGCTGGCCCAAATCTAGGAACGTAAGCAACCTGCACCCGTTTGCGGGGCCCAAATCTGGGGTCTCCCACCATCGGCTTGGCTTGTCAGCGACATTTCTCTCCGAAGGCACCCACCGTACATGTAAACGGATCCCAGTCACTAGGGTATGTGCAGCTATGCGTCGGATGATTCGAAGGACACCGTAATTGCTGCATCTACCCTTCTGAACAGCCAAAACAACTCCAAGATTGTCATTCAGCACTGTGATGCGTTTCCCATGACGACATGGATCTCGGGACCGATGCTTCACTGCACCAAGAATACTGCGCGCCTCCAGCACGTGTATTGCGTCCCTCATTTTCAATGGACTGGCCCAGAGGACATGCCATCTGTCTGATGACATCAACTCCTCTCTGATCTCTGGGAAACTGGGGTCCTCGCATAGTTCCCCGAAGAGCTCCCCACTGATGTCGGGCCGGACCGTCAGGGGATCCTCAAAAACTAAGCTGGTGTCTAAAGCCGCTGCTCGAGGACGTGGGCGGTCAGGCGGGCCTCGATAAAACCTCCATCGCTCATCTTCCCGCCCAACCTCTGCGGCTTCGGCAGCAGACCAGTCACTCTCACAAACGCCGTAACCCGAGGGACATGCGTCAGTGCAAAGAGCTTGCCCATCCCAGGTGGCAAAGATGTCAGCCTGTCCGAGCGGCATCAAACACCTAAAAAGCTCCAGCTCATGCAGAACACTATCCCATAGGCGTCTCCGTTGATGGTAGTGGGTCTGCACGAAAACATAGCTATGTCGTAATATCCCCATCAGCCCCCTGTGAAGAAGTGCTCTTGAAGTCATATGACCAATGATCACCTCGAGCTCCTCTCCCGAAAGTGCCGGCGCGGCCTGACAAGCAAGGAGAGCCCGATCCAGCCGCCAATCTCGATGAGGAGTCGCTTGCACCTTGCCACAAAGTCCATCTACTCGGACTCCCAAACTCTCGACTATTTCACTGCTCTCAATAACGTCATGCGTGGCAAGACCATATGAGTGCAGTGCTTCACGAACGAGTGCTTGGTCGTGGTCCACCACGGCCCTGTGCGTTCCCAAATGATTGCAATTGTCCGCATAAATCAGCATAGTTGAAGGATGCCCGCCTGGTACTGACCCAAGAAGTGGAGGCGGCCTCCGATCCCGGACAACTGGTGTGCGTGTAAGTGTACGTCGGGCAATCTCCACATGCGCTTCATGTGCCAGATGGAACGCCCACGAAAAACCCATAGGTAGAACCCTGAGACAAGGATGAATCCGAGCACCTGACACATCCATCAACTGCATGAGCTCCTCGGGAAGGTCTCCACGCACCTCCCGCAGCAAGGCGGGCTCGATGNNAACGAGAAGTACTCTCCCAAACGCTTGTCGATCCCTAAGCGATAGAAGTAGTCCTTTACGTCCTCCTGTGCCATGAAAAGAGGGGCGCCTCCTTCGACCTCCAGTCTCGTCCACGACTCAACGGAGCCCAGGCATGTTGAAGGTGGTGACCTGAACAAGCGATTCGCCCTACGGGCATCGATTATTAGCCTCTGTCGCTGCTGCTTCTTTGTCACGACGAACACTCCCACTTGTACTCGTGGTTGGTCGGTGAAATACAGAAGGTTGCAATCGATCAGGTCCGATATGAACTCATGATATTTGATGGGGTTGTGTGCGAGTGCTGGATCCACATAACAATCACTCTCCAAACCAACCTCGAGGACGGCCCCTGCCTCCTCGGGACTAAGCAACATCTCCTCGTCAAAGTGCTGAAGACGATGCCGCTCCCGAGTAGGAAGTATGTCCGCCAAAGTGGCGGGATTCTGCTGTCCTCGAGGTAATGACAGCTTACTACGATCGTACGATGCTAACTGCCCCGGCAGGTCGCCGCTATAGGAAGTCCCTGCCTTCTTGCACAGCAGCTGCCTCAGCGCTGCCTGTGGACTTTCATTTGACTGCGGGGGCACACGCTCACGATGTGCACTCCGAACATGCTGCAACGCCTTAAGCTGCGACGAATTCAAAGGAGCCGATGGCCACGAAGATGGATCGGAAAAACCAGCCAAAGAATTGAGTGCCCAGATAGTGCCCCTCTCTCGCTCCACCAGCGTCCTCCGCCGATGAACCCTCTGTCGAGCACGCCTGGACCCTAAACAGCCCAACTCTCCGGCGTAGCCTTT